ATAATGGTTTCACAGACCTTGGACTGCCCTCTCGTTCCATATGTTATATCTTAAAAGCTAAAATTGAAATTGATCAGTTACACCACGCGGCTGCTCTTCCGATGACGTTGCCGACAAGTAACTACTTCTACTACCGATACTACTGTCAGAGCTGCCAATCCCCTGATAGCCCCACTGGAGTGAGAATGGCTGGCAGCCCGGGTCCAGGTCTTCAGCAGGCCCCCGTCAGGTCCAGGTGACAGGGGGCCAGGGGAAATCTTTATTCACCATAACTACGCACACCTAGGCTATCTCTGATAAGGTTTAAAAATGGCATAATTACATTTAGACAGAAATTTACTCACATTTTAAAGAATCGAGTTCCGCTGTAGGGAAAAGATCTTAATATTCTTTTTAATGATTTTTTCATGACTTCATCATCATTTTAGAGATAATATTTTCCAACTGTTTTGAATCTAAATATCCGCGTGAGAAAAAATGGAAGCATGGCGTAGAGAGCGTAGGATTTAGTTTGGTTGTGAAATGTCACGTGCCGTCACGATGGATGTTGACAGGCACGCATGTGACCTGTGGCTAGAACATGGTACTCCACCTGTTGTAGTGATTCTTTTCAGAATAAAGCCTCAAAACACATGCATTTTCGTGGACTATATAACGGTCCAGCTCCATATACATATACCTGCGAAAAGAAAAACAGAAAACACGAGCGGTCATAGCTGCAATCTATGGTAGACTGAGTTAGACTGCGGTTCATACATACCATACTGTGCGTCACCCATCGCTGTTCTGCTTAACAGGTCTGCTGTGTACACGTATCAGCGCCAACACTCCACATGTCAAGGTTGGTGATAACATGAACGTCATCCTACAGTGAAGCCAGGGGACAGCATACAAGGTAGCTATTCATTCATGGGAGAACATAAGTCACCACTGTATAGTTATTGAGCAAGAGATGCTGCAATTATTTTTACATTTTTAGGCACTGTAAATAAGCGCGTTTTCCGTATCTATATATTGTGGAGGCTGCGATTACAATACATAGAGAGGCCGGAAAGGAAATCTTGTCTCGTCATCTCCCAAAACAATGTTTCGTCACCTCTGCAAATTGTACCTTGGCCTCCTTTGAGACTAATCCTTGAGGAGGAAAACATGTGATTTCAACATTTAATTTAACTGAAATAGAAAATGTAACCTATTTTCGAATCTTAAATGCATGTTGTTATTTTACAGGAAATAAAAAACGAGTTTAATATATAATGGAGTGTTTATATGCTTATGCGCCAACTAGCAAAAACTTTCTAATTTCTTTGAGTGGGAAAAATATCTGTGCCAGCGAATTACTTTTCCATGCTCAATACATTTTGAAATATTCAGTTACTCGTACTTTCAAATGCTTTGCTTAAGAGCATAGACCTAGAAGAAAGCCACGCTCTTCGGCTACAAGGGCAGAAAATGTACTGTGGAGAAAGCTACTGTGAATGTGTGTATATTGTTAAGTGTAATGTCCTGGACGGATTATTTGTATCTGTAAGAAACATGTGGTGGTATTAATATAAACGTGTTGAATTCTATTCAGTGAATGACATACACTTATATATATACGAGTCTATAAGAGAGAAGGTGAACAGTTGTACGTACAACAGCTGCATCCCATTAAATGAGAGAGTTTCTATCCGAAACTTTTTGGTGAATCACCATGTATGTTATACTCATACGCAATAATGGCTGCCAGCCCTCAGCCTATCAATGAGTGAGTGAGTGAGTCAGTTTACGCCGCACTCAGCAATATTCCCAGCGCTATGGCGGCGGTCTGTAAAATAATCAGTTCCACCAGGAGACATTCAGGGATCAACGGCATGAGCATCGATCTGTACAACTGGAAACCGATATGCATCAACCGAAGATAGCGAGCTCCTGACCACCAATCCACGTTAGTCGCCTCTTTACGACAAGCATAGTCGCCCTTTGTGTAAGCATGGTTTCTGAAGACCTATTCTACACCGGATCTGTCACGGGTCGCTTATCAACAAGAATGAAGGGGTGACAACCATTAGTGGCATGGAGTATATGTATGTATGTGTATGCGTGTGCGAGCGTGCATGATATTCTAAAATTCTGCACCTCTACCCGAAATGTGTCGTAACCGAGAGAACGCTCCACGTGTGCAGATTCTACATGCAAGGTTATGCTAATAGCGATGTTCGCCACAAAAGCCTAGCAGACATTTGATTATTATTCCCTGGTACAATTGAAAAGAATTAGGTCAATTCTGAACACTCACAGAATATCTAGATATTAACTGATTTTCGTTTAAATTGCTATATTATTTAGTTTGAATTCGTATTTTATTTATTCAGTCGTCTCAAAACATATATTCCCAAATCTGATTTTGTAACAACCTCTTCAAATCCAATCCCACATACTGGACGTATGAATTATTCATTCCGATCTTACATTACCAAATTCAATGTTGCTGTTGTATGTCGATGCCAATATTGGTTCGTGCCAAGCTTATGCAACGAGGGACAGTTCAGAGTTCATAATACGCATCTTAAACTGTGAAGGGTCTACAGCTTGAACCTTCTGTGTCTAGAGATAAAGAGTGATCAAGACGGAGCGTCATATCATAAAATGGACGAGTTTCTATCCATTGCCAATTTTCATCTAATATATATATTTAGTTAACTGAATGAATCGGAGTTTTGAGACGTCGTAACGAGTGTTTTGCACAGCATGATCGTGGTGAAAAGTGAGATGATATGACAATGATCGGCTGAGATGCACTCCATATATTAAGCTCATGTCCCAGTCCCGATAACCTTTATCGGGATTATCATTATCAGAAACACTCATGGTAGCATTTGCTGGGCAACGTTTCATCTTTCATGGTGATAATACTCGATTGTACCTGTCTCACTCCAAAAGCAAAACACCCTTGCCTTGTCATGCCGTAGCCAGCATTCAGTCGTTAACATTCACCTTCGAACATATCTGGGACGTTACTGGTGGACACTGATGCGTAGAGCATGGGTCGAAACAAGAGAGCCTTGATTCGTTGTATGTTCTGATCTAGTGATTTGGCAATCTGATCGCTTCAAAGTACTCTTCAGAGTGTGGATGGGCCGACGCCTTTTGACAAAGATGTCCTAGATCTAGACGAGTACCTCAACGAATTCTTTGAGTAGCATTTTAGAAGTTTAATAAAGACATATTCTATGGATCACATTGTCATTATGTCGTGATTGAGACGTCTCAATACTGATTCTTGTACTTCTGTAAAGCAGGAATGAAGACTGTCTCAAGCAGGTCTCATTATCAGAATTTGGAATACTTTCAATTGTTGAACCAGAAATACGTAACATGCTCTCGTCAATAACCCGTTTGCAATACACGTGTCCTTTATGTGACACGACCATACATCTTGGCAAAATAAGGACACATAGCATCAGGCTGCACTTTAAAAGAAACTAATTTAGCTATAATGATGCAATCTGTGAACATTTCCTCAGCTAAATACCCAGAAATTACAAGAATGGCGAGGATCCAAAGTCTTCCAGGAACCATTTATTGTTCCTTAAACGGTTTAGGAGGAGTAAATATAAAAGTAAGTAGTGAGACGTTCAATGGCATCACAACATGGTTGTTATTTCCAAATTACTGGGCTCGATGATGTATTCCAGAAACGTAGGAATGAGTGTTTCGAATCTCGATTCGCCATGATTATTTCTAGGCCTTATAAACCCGTCCTCCTCGGATTCAGCAAACAGGGTACCTGCATCAGTCCAGGCTTTCATCGCAGCTCACGCAGACACGCCATAGATATAGGATACTCTTCCATTCACGTCAGATATAGGATAATTTGTCTTTCAGCTCATTAACACATACAGTCAGCATTGCATCAGCAACAGGCAGACAGGTCAGTCATCAGGTCAGTCAGTCAGGCCAGTCGTCAGTCAGGTCAGTCACAGACAAGTCGCGGGTCAGTCAGTCAGGCCAGTCAGTCAGTCAGTCTGGGTCAGGGTCGGTCATTCAAGTAATCGGTCAGGTCGGCAGACTGACCCACATACAGACAAAGTTGTGGTAATGGCCCAACATACATGCGTTTTACTAGACAGAAAACCCATCAGGAATCTTTTTATTTCCAAACACATTATGCATAATAAAAGGAATGAATTCATTTTATAACATGTTTGTTTGTTGAAGACCGTTGACAAAGCTGTCTTTGTGACAGAGGATGTTTCGAATAAGTTTATCCAGAAACTTATGCCTTATATCTAGGTAGACTCTGATACTAAAGTAAAACGTGTACTTTCATCTTCAATTAAATTAAAGATTACTTGTTTTTGCAAAAAGACAGAATCTTGATTCATAAAGGACATTGTTATATCTATCAACTGATCTTCAAAGCATAAAAATATAGCATGTAGTATATATCGGGCATTTTATATACAAGAATATCCTTATCACCACCACCGATTACAGCTTCTGTCCAACTTCTTCTATCATATTTGACTGAAATGAGACTCCACTATTGAAATACATATATAGAACGTCATACTAGTGCACTAGGATGTTTTGTATTGAACGAGAAGATGGCATGGGAGCAGAGAAACAACGAGTCCGAAGGATGACGTTCTATATTTATCATATACCCTCTTATCTTTCATTAATCTGTTTCTTAATAAAGAAAATCATAGTCTAGCGGCAGGCATTCAATACGGAATATTTCAGCAGTCAGGTTCTGCCTGCGACGGCTACAAATAACTCCATACAAATGTTCTACTCAAAACCGCCGTAATATTTTAAAGGAGATATAAAAAATCTCTGGGGACTGTGCTGTGATCTGCCGTTTGGTTATAGATACATCTCGACGTTATCATTTCACAACCGTTTGTTTTAGTATGCATGAATCACAGACCGGCTGTCTATTCCGGAAGTTGAAACCTCACTGAAACCATGACGTTCATGTAGTGCCCTAGTTCAGTGTTGCCAGCACCACCAGAAACTTCAGAGTTCAGTAGTCCGTTCATCTCCCAACTGCCCACACAGCAGTAGCCTATCTCAGTGGACAGGTACGTTTGTATTTTATCAACACCCATCTATGACATTTGCATTTATCTGATAACTGAAATCACCCAACCGACGATACTGAACCTAAATGTAAGACTGTGTTGTGTTAATTTCAGGACAGCGATGGAAATTCAGGTTATACTCAGTGTAGCGCTGGCGCTTTTGTCAACAAAGGGTAACGTTTGAATACATTTGGTATTTTGATTCAGTTACACCGAAATATTTAAATTTGTAGTAAAGATTAATGACATTCTGTGAACACAGACTTTGTGGCAGTAATGCAATCGCCTGTACACTTGTTTAACTGAACCCATTCGTGCACGTGAACCTTGTCATTTCTGAGTGTAAAAAATATTTCCTGCCTTTTGTTTTCTGAGTAGCGATAGTCACTTCAGTTGTGTTGGTTGTTATGAAAAATATTGGCTGAGTATACTACTCTGGATATCATAAGAAGTTTACTGATTTGTCGTACATGTATAGTGAACGTCCATCAATGGGAGGCAACATAATGCTGTCAGTAGAATACTAATGTCAACACTGATGACACCAGAAGGCCCTGCCTTTAGCACGAGTAATAGAACCGAATTGGGAATCTGGCTTTGTGTTTTGATGGATGTGTATGATATTAGATATAATTCATACAGGATATAAATATATTCTAAAATTGTATTCACTATTCAAATAAACAGTCAAACATGAAATTAATGTTTACAATGAACGTGTCTTTTACAGCGGATAAGTGTATTGAGGACCAACAGTGCTCACACTGCTCACGTTCAACACAACACTGCAGTACAGATTGTTTTTCTGGTATTTCGGCATCAAATGCAAGTTACCGTGTAGCAATCAATGCATAAACAGTAAATGTAACTTGTCACAAGATGGGATTGATATATGCTTAGACGGCTGTGTACCTGGTTTCCATGGTACTCGATGCAATGTCCCGTGCATACTTCCGAGGGGAAACTGTACAAAATGTCCTCGAAGATGTGATGGAACATTCTGCCGTCTCACATCATCTTGTGTTTCTGGATGCCATGACCAATACTATGGGTCTAACTGCAAGAATTGTTCACACAGATGTCGACATTGTAACAGGATAACAGGCAGATGTGACGTGTGTCATGATCCTTATCATGGCCTGGACTGTGAATACTCATGTGAACATTGTTCAACAACTGATTGTGTACAGACATGCGCACCTGGATTGTATGGACGTACATGCTCTAAAAGATGCAACAGAGACTGTTTGGTTTATCCCACCACTAATACCAATGATACTTTGACAAGTAACAGTTCCCCCTCCTGCATATCTGAATGTCAAAGATACAGTGGCGAGTGTATCAATGGTTGTGCAGATGACTGGTCTGGTCCACACTGTTCCTCGCCAATTAAATGTAACCCAAACTGTTTGGGTTGCAAATGAGGTTGGTGCCTGTGTTGAAGGATGCCTGTCTGGCTACTTTGGAGATAAATGTAAGCCTTGTCCGAGGACCTGTTTCAATCACACATGTTACCAAAACAACGGGTTGGGTCTGGACAATGGATGTATCCATGACAATATGGACAATCCTGTCAACTATTCTGCATCCACTGCCCGAGGTGCTTGTGATCCTAGTAACAGGAATATGCGGTAAGGCATAACGCATTTCTATATGTTATATCATTTCTTGTTTGAATGCAAATTGTGAGTAGTGTGAACAGTAGGGCATGGGGAGCAAACGACTGGTGTCAGTGAATTTCATAGAATTACCTAAATGAATAAAAAACAAATGATTATGGAAACAAACATACAAACAAACAAATAAAAGTTATATATTTTGTACATGTTGTCTTAATGAATATATCGTTTCAAAATCCTTTACTCGGAGTTGAGAAAAATGAAGTTTATATTTCAGTCGAACAGGATGTGGGAATTCATATATAGCATACTCGCCTCATATCAATTTGTATCAAACTTGGCATATATACCAACTACCCAAAAGCATCTTTTCCGAAATGAATTAGACGGATATAATTACTACCTCCGACTTGTGAATTTAAGTCTATTTACTGAAAGATGAAAACATGCGGACACAGGTTCAGCTCACGACGTGTCAATAACTGTTCTATTTTCCCTCCTCTTTTGTGCAGATCATGAATGATGCCACGATTGGAATACTGGCATAAATTCATTTATTCATTCGCATATGTTCTTGAAACTCAAAATATCATCAGTGCAATCAGTTGAAATGAAACATTTACCAATTCTCATTTGCGAAATTCATTTGTAATGAACACGGAATTGGTTAATACAATTCATAGATGTACTGACAACTGTTTTGTTTTATTCCGGTTTTCAGTTGCCATTCAGGGTGCCATGAGTTATGCAACTATTGGAGCAACCACTGCACTGATTTTAATCGTTGGAATCATTGCAATCGGGTGCATTTTTTACTTCAAGAGAGTCGCATCAAAGAGGTCAGCATGTACACCTTGTTGACGTGTTGCGCAAATGTCAAATAGAGCTTGAGCTAACATTTGATTGGAGGAGATATTATGTGTGACATATTTTATTATGCAACATTCCTGTTAAGTTAAGATCGTACATCTTCGGGAACTAGAACTGTCGTCAATCACAGTATCTCAGACAAAATGTATTTGTTGTCAATATAATAATGATATAAATGCAACACAGTTTACAATTTACTTACATACCTTACATAAATATATTAAGATTACGGAACTAACTTATTGAATATCACAAGCTTCCAAGAATATGTTCTGAAACAGGCAGAACAGCACAGCAAACTATTAGACAAACCAGCTTTGTGATACTTGTTTGCTTGTAATCAATGGTAACTTGTAGCAGTATACTCTGTACCCATGTGTACATTTTCAGGGATCGGCAAGCAGATGAGTCCATATTGACACAGAGATCAAGACAACTGAAAACAGGAGATAACTACACAGTGCATCAATACGTGGATATAGACGATTACGATGAAGTATCTCAGAGGCAATGGCAGCTACAAGGACGGGCAGAGGAAGGAGCTTACGATGAAGTATTTCAGCTGCATGGACAGCAACAAGGACCGACAGAGGAAGAAGACTACGATGAAGTATCTCAAACCCATGATCAGCAACATGGACCGGCAGAGGAAGGAGACAACAGTGATCCTGCACTTCCTGCTTTGGCTGACAACTTTCCTGAGCCACATGACAGTGAATATGATGATGGTATTCCTGTACTACCTGTGTTGGCTGAATACTTTCCCGGGGCACAGGCTACAGAAGAGAGCAATGGAGGTGACACATTACCTGAGTCAGTGAGTGGTTCCCAGTCATACACTCCCTTAATGAGGGATGTGTTTGTTGATGATGCGAGAACTGTAGTCACGTATATATCACCAACTGAAGACAACACATAGAGTAGCAATGGAAAATACTTTATGCCTGAAATACCGATACATTAAAATACGCAATGTTGTAACCTTTGTTTTACACTCTGTCAGAGTGTTTTCAACACATGTTGACTATATGAACAGGTCACCTAGTCACATGCTGTATCTTCACAGAAGGCTGGTTGTGATTCATCACCATCCTAAGACCAGTAGCATCTGTAGTTAATGTCATTATGACCAGAGTGTTGATCTGTGGTGTTCGACAACTAACAAACCTTTAAACTTGTGCGCATGATATAGGTTCACGACTACCTCGCCATGTTTGTTTTATACGCCTATCACCGACATTCTATAACACAGCGCATCACGGCTCAGATATCCACGAGCCTCTGTTGTCTGTCTGGTGACAGGAATACTATTCTTTGTAATGCTTTCCGCAGGCATCATGGGGATGAAGCTTGGGAGTAAAACAATCAGACAAGTAGTGGACATCCCCGTTGGAACTGTTGGCTACCACTTGCTGAACTCTTGCACTATGAATATCAATCAGAATTTCTGTTCTGAAGGCAAAATCTAAACAAAATAATTTGGCCAATAGGTTTAACTTAATCCTGAGGGATATTAATGATCTAAGACATGGTCGAAATCGTATCTGCTCTGGATGGATATTTCACGCCAACGTGAAAGGGTTTTATTCATTTTGTGTATTTGTTGGTGATCATCGTCTGTGCTGATTTAGCTGTCTTGTTAACTATATAACCACCCTATGAAAATAAAACTGCAAACTGTCGCCAATGCCCTTAATTACTTCCTCGCTGTTTAGTGTTTCAGTTTCAGGCTGTGATATACCAACCTATTTTCTGTCCTTTGTCGACAGGAATAATACAATGATTACCATGTTTCACCGCTGTATAGCTGTAACATTGACAACACGATGTCAAATTTCAGCTCACTTACTCACCTCAGTTTCAAGAAAACAGCTGTGTGACCACGCCAGGAGAAAACTGTTTCAGGGAACGTGTAATCCTCTGGAACTGATATTTTAGTTTATTTTATAAAAAGATAAAATACAAAGTACATAATCAAATACAATTGATGGATGGACGTACTTAGTATACATACATATCATAAATAAATTACATTCTCTCCACAATTATGCATTGTACAATATGTATGGCCCCGAAACAAATAGGGGCGGTGGGGTAGTGTAGTGGTTAAAGGCCCGGCCAAAGACCCGGGTTCGATTCCCCACATGGGTACAATGTTTGAAGCCCATTTCTGGTGTCCCCTGCCGTGATATTGCTGGAATCATATTGCTAAAGGCGGCGTAAAACTAAACTCACTCACTCACTCACTCACCGAAACAAAGAAGAACATAACATGTATCAATGTGATATAAGAGCAATTATTGCATGTCCTTATGGAAAAGTTAGTTTGGTTTTAGTTTCTGAATCAAAATCATTTGCTTGTCACGCCGAGAGGAACATGAAACGCGGTAATTCAGCCCCGACATGTTGGTTATTCTGATATTAATGCAGAGTATGTTCATGGGTCCATGACCTAGTATCCAAAGGGTTCTTAATTTAATCCGCCCTTTTACCCTGCCAGGTAGTTGTGTTACCTGTCAGTTATCCCACACCTGGGAGGGCGTTTCTTTACCGGAACTACGGTATACCCTCGTACTTCGGTCCTGACGATAAGGGATGTGCGAGAGGTACCGTGTCAGTACCCGAGGGCCCTTTGGACCTTTACCGTAGTTCCTCCAGCAACCACAAGACGATGATCTTCGTTCCACAGTTTTATTAACACTGCGTTGCTGGTCCAACCTACTCTATTTGTCACATAATTAGGAGATTTCAGCTGGAAAGCTTCAGTCTCAATCGAAATGCTGGTGCTTTGAGTTTGTTTCTTAGTACGAAAGTTAGTGAAAATCAGATGACAGCTGGTGCGCCCTAGACCCCAGGCGTGGGGTTCCTAGGTGCACACTCCTTCTCGGCTTCAGGTCTCGCACCTCTCTCACGTCTCTGAGCTTTGCTCCATCTTAAAGCTGGGTTCCTACGTCACAGCCAACACCCTTTTCCATTTTTCTATTGGTCAATAACCCATAACCTGACTATCTATTACTCTCCCCCACCTCTATGTCGTACCCCCCATACCATATTTGTAAGACCGTGAGGTGGATTCTAGGAATCTCAGAGTCTCTCTCCCCTAACCATATATGACTCGTAGAGTACCAAGAACTGGTAGCTGATCCCCGGACACGCCGCTCTGTCTTGATAGTGTAGCAGTTTTTCCCCTACCTAAGCTATGAGTCCCCTCACCTTGCCCCCATCAGCTCCAACGACCTACTTTCATGTTTATTACCTCCGCTACTGACTTCCTACCTAACAACGTTATTAATCACTTCATATCTTAAATATATTATTAAATGCTCTCATAATTTGTACCTTATCACCTCTTAATCACCCGCCATTACTTATGTCAATTGTATATCTATTATTGCAGCAAGTACAATAATCTCATGCCTATTGTGCGACCCCCTTTCTGACTAAGAGCGTGCCCTCACACTCTAAATTCTATCTTTATCAATATTATAATTTCATGCCTATAATACGACCCCCGGTCCGACCAACAGTGTGCCCTCACACTCTAAGTTCTATCTTTATCAATATTATAATTTCGTGCCTATAATACTGGTTCTCACACTTCACTCAATGATCAATACATCATATACTTTAGGCCACATGAGTGTTTACGTTCAACCCTAAATGAGCAAAGACGATATTTCAAGAGAATTTTGATCAGTTTGAGAGGCTTTATGAAAGATTCATCCTCATGACACTCTACAACTTCCTCATATGCTTGCATATTGGCAAATGGCGAAATGACACATTGGTTGTTTTGGATAACCGAAACATTGTCTGTGATACATGTAAATATTAACGAATGTGTTTGTGAATTCTTCATTGGTGTACCGCTGCTCAAAATAAGATTTTGATGAACATGGTCATGTAAGGGGAATGTCTACTGAGAGATATAACCAGCCACACTTTTCTTTACACACAGAAAGAAAGTATCGGAACACTTATGACTTCAACCCCTACGTAGCCATATATATCCATATCAGAATGATGTTTGTTTGTTTGAGTATTTTGACCCTTCAAGCGCACCATACATTGATTACATATGTGCATGCGCTACGATCAAATGCCAGTACCATATATAATACCTGCAACTGTCATTAAACAAGTACCATGTTCCAGTAAACTGTTCTTACACTTCGATAATTTGGGAAAAATAAATGGATTACCTTTTTATTAAGCAAAGAAGGAGCCTCTTCAACTGACAACTAACAACAAATAGGCAATTCATTGGTACGCGGAAAGTATGCATTTCAATCAGGGTTGTTTAGATTACAAGAGATGTTGTCGTCTATCTATCTAGAGAGCAGCAATAACGAAACCTAACCTGCTCACGTCAACACCACTACACTCACTATATCTATCTAGATAGAGGAATTGAGAACACGGGCTTTCTCACATCAACATTAAACCACACCCACTATATCTATCTAGATAGAGGCATTGAGAACACGTGCTTTCTCACATCAACATTAAACTACACCCACTATATCTATCTAGATAGAGACATTGAGAACACGTGACTTTCTCACATCAACATTAAACCCACCCACTATATCTTTCTAGATAGAGACATTGAGAACACGTGCTTTCTCACATCAACATTAAACCACACCCACTATATCTATCTAGATAGAGACATTGAGAACACGTGACTTTCTCCCATCAACATTAAACCACACCCACTTTATCTATCTAGATAGAGGCATTGAGAACACGGGCTTTCTCACATCAACATTAAACCACACCCACTATATCTATCTAGATAGAGACATTGAGAACACGTGACTTTCTCACATCAACATTAAACCACACCCACTATATCTACCAAGATAGAGGCATTGAGAACACGTGCTTTCTCACATCAACATTACACCACACCCACTATATCTACCAAGATAGAGACATTGAGAACACGTGCATTCTCACATCAACATTAAACTACACCCACTATATCTACCAAGATAGAGACAATGAGAACATGGGCTTTCTCACATCAACATTACACCACACCCACTATATCTATCTAGATAGAGGCATTGAGAACACGTGACTTTCTCACATCAATATTAAACCACACCCACTTTATCTATCTAGATAGAGGCATTGAGAACACGTGCTTTCTCACATCAACATTAAACCACGCACACTATATCTATCTAGATAGAGGCATTGAGAACACGTGACTTTCTCACATCAATATTAAACCACACCCACTTTATCTATCTAGATAGAGGCATTGAGAACACGTGCTTTCTCACATCAACATTAAACTACACCCACTATATCTACCAAGATAGAGGCATTGAGAACACGTGCTTTCTCACATCAACATTACACCACACCCACTATATCTACCAAGATAGAGACATTGAGAACACGTGCTTTCTCACATCAACATTAAACTACACCCACTATATCTATCTAGATAGAGACAATGAGAACACGTGCTTTCTCACATCAACATTAAACTACACCCACTTTATCTATCTAGATAGAGACATTGAGAACACGTGACTTTCTCACATCAACATTAAACCACACCCACTATATCTATCTAGATAGAGGCATTGAGAACACGTGCTTTCTCACATCAACATTAAACCACACCCACTATATCTACCAAGATAGAGGCATTGAGAACACGTGCTTTCTCACATCAACATTACACCACACCCACTATATCTACCAAGATAGAGACATTGAGAACACGTGCTTTCTCACATCAACATTAAACTACACCCACTATATCTACCCAGATAGAGGCAATGAGAACACGGGCTTTCTCACATCAACATTAAACCACGCACACTATATCTATCTAGATAGAGGCATTGAGAACACGTGACTTTCTCACATCAATATTAAACCACACCCACTTTATCTATCTAGATAGAGGCATTGAGAACACGTGCTTTCTCACATCAACATTAAACTACACCCACTATATCTATCTAGATAGAGGCATTGAGAACACGTGCATTCTCACATCAACATTAAACCACACCCACTATATCTACCAAGATAGAGGCATTGAGAACACGTGCTTTCTCACATCAACATTACACCACACCCACTATATCTACCAAGATAGAGACATTGAGAACACGTGCATTCTCACATCAACATTAAACTACACCCACTATATCTACCAAGATAGAGACAATGAGAACACGGGCTTTCTCACATCAACATTAAACCACACCCACTATATCTATCTAGATAGAGGCATTGAGAACACGTGACTTTCTCACATCAACATTAAACCACACCCACTACATCTACCAAGATAGAGACATTGAGAACACGTGACTTTATCACATCAACATTAAACCCACCCACTATATCTACCTAGATAAAGACACTGAGAACACGTGACTTTCTCACATCAACATTAAAGCCACCCACTTTATCTACCCAGATAGAGACAATATACATGTTATCAGTGTAACAGTGTGTAGTTTTCACTTCAGGAAAGTATCCACAAAGAGGTGAGCATATATATATATACCCACTTGACGTGTTCCTCAAATGTCAAACAGAACCTAAGCTGACAGGTCATCGGAGGAGATTATGTGTAATGACTTTAACTTTCATTATCAATGGTTCAACAGTTATTACAGCAACAGAGTCACGGAACACGACTAGTTCATTATTTGGTTTGTAATTGGCTCCAAGAACTCTTCTAAATAGATTCTATATATTGCATGCACTGAAATGCAATAAATTGTACGGATGTTTTGATTTTCGTAGTTGAGACATATGATTTACTGAGACTGATTCGTTCGATGCAGAGACGATGTCGAGAGTACTGAACGCCAATGGTGGCCACACTAGGTACTAACTTCAGCGCCACCAAGCGTCTTTGTGGGATCCTCTATCTGACTTTTTCCGACCCCTACCGAACATCAATACTGGGACATAACCTATGAGAAGTTTCGTTGCATTACGTTGATTATTAAAACCAACACAATGTATCATAATTAAGAAAACAAATTAGTTCAAATTCTTATATGCGCTTCTTTTTTGAGAGAGTATATTAATAAACATCGATGGCTTTTTAATTCTGCTGGTTTTTTTGTACGCATTGGCTGCTTGAAGGTAATGAGATGTTTCCATTTACGATAGTGCGAAGGAATCGACTTTAGTCTAATATCATTAAAGTAACTACATCTCAGTAAATAATGAAGTTCATCAGCTATTGAGGGGAAGTCACATAACTTACATGTTCTATTGTCTGTGGTTATGCCCTCCCAATGGCCGGTCTCAATAGTTTGAAGGTGGTCAGTTGTTCTTAATTCCAGAATTGGATATAAACATTGGTTAGGAGAAAAGAAGTAACGTTCTAATATTATAGTCTTTTATAGTCTTATAAAATATAAATGATTTGGGGCTATTATTTATTAAAGACCACCAACTCTGAATAAATTGGGGTTTTTTAAAAAACGAATTCTACCTTTAATGCCAGCCATTCAGTGTTATCACATTCTGGATTACAGAAAATATTACCAAGACGTACATGATTTAACGTACATTCGATAACATTTAACCACTTGTCTTAATAGTCATATTGCTTGATAGTCGAGACTTGTTATTCTCTGATGTTGATGCTTCATGTATTATTATTAATCCCTGTGTGCCACAACTTCAGTGTTTGATGTCTTCAAATCCTTTTGGGCACGTTCAAATATGTCGTATCGTGCCTACGAAGATTTCAAAGTGCTCAAGAATTGTTTGCATCAATAAATATGCCTTATGCTTGCCCGATGCAACGAACTAATCCAGATATTCACTGTGTAAAAAAGGGTTGTAATGAGAGCAACACAGACTAGCCTTTGTCCTGTGTGTGTGTTTACATTGTTTATACCTACACAAACTGTTGTACTTGTTTCTGATGACAATAATGCTTTTTCGTATTTTTGTTCCATGAAAACTGAAGCCATCAACAGTGACGACTGGCTTTAATAGTTTATGGATTGATGCTGAAACATTTGTGTCTACTACCACACCTTTATGGAATCATGCATTCTGATTGGTGAATCCTGCTGTTTGTTTGTGTGTTTGTGTTCAACGCCAGACTGAACAATTTCCCAGCTACTTCACGATGTAAATAATCGAGCTTCGAACAGACAATCAGTGATTGGCACCATGAGTATCGATCAACGCAAATAGGATACGGTCAGCACAGGAAACATATCTGCAAGTCTGCCCACTCAATCCTGATAGTTGCCTCGTATGACAAGCATGGTTGCTGAATACCAATTCGAGGCCAGATCTTCACGGATGAGAGAATGCTACTATTGATAGGCTTTAATTTCTCAAGAGGACCACCACCAGTGTCACATGAGTTCATAATATCACACATGCAGTTTCGATCACATAATGGTGTGCATAATTTTTATTTAAAATTTTAAAGTACATGTAATTTGTTATTTCTTAGTAATTTATTTGCATATTTGGCCTACTAATAACGTTCACGTGACAAGATTTTGCACTTAAATGAAATTCATCTATAAACTGTTCAGAGTTACAACACGAACACAATCTATGTTCAGTCTATTCATTTAATTAATTTTCATGGGCGAGATCACTTATCACATGGCTGCAGGTTCCGGCCGAGGAGAAGAAAATATACTCGGATATTTCATTAAGAAAACTGTTAGAAATATGATAGCAATTGCAAGTTGATAGATTTAACAAAGACAAAATGCAACTTGACTGGCGTCATACAAAGAGAGGAATAGAATTGGCGTGGCCTCCCTTTTTTGCAATCTGATCCTCTGATATGGCGTTTTCGACATTGTCAATTTCAAATTATAAAAAAGTCATAAGCATACTTCAGAGGTACAGATAAACTGCGTATCTGCGTAAATTACTCAAAACATTAAATACAAACTCAAGTCTTATTAAGTCTATTGCATACAAGTACGCTTGGATTTTTGTAAATATATTAGATCTTACATGCGTGCACGCAAAAATGTCAAATATTAGCTAGCGTACAGGTGGCGTAGATAAACTAACTGAGGTATATTGAGAGGTTCTATTTCATCACACGAACAAGGCAACTCGCAGTCTTTCTTATTCGTTTCTCATATTACAGATCAAATATAAATAACATTTAAACTTTATAATTTACAATTAATGGAAAACGACAAAATACCCAATTGAGTTTAAATGGGGTGGGTACAATTTATTTGGTTACTCAGTGGAAAATTGGGATACCCAATTGAGTTGAACACAAGCGAGTACATAACTCAATGACCCAAAACGTTATCTGTAGCTCTGATACTTACACCGACAAACATTGTCCTCCTGTGGGGGTACGTAAGTCACAAAATATTCAAGACAAGTCTATACTTACCAGATTTTTTAAACGTAGTATTTTTGTAATTTCGAATTATGTCTAGATTTGCTTACATTCGCCAGTGGCTGAAGGGATGGTGTAAATCCAACTAGGATCCATGCACGTAGCAAAGGGACTGTAGGTCCCCGTGGTCCCTGGTATGGTGATACCTTCAGTTGTTGGCGATCTATAGCCTGTTTTTATCTTGTATCGTCCTCAATAGTAAAACTGTTTGAGATTTAATTACTAGTTTTGAATACATAGATTAGTGATAGTCTAGTTGGTTATACTGCCCTTCGTCGACGGATATTTTATAATGATTATCCTGTTTTCATCGCTATTTGGCTGTAATATTGCCGATGACATGTGCAATTTTAACTCACTCACTACACGGACAAACAAATCTATGGTTATGGTGTAGCGAGTATCCATTGTTATACAATACCCGTCAGTCGCAAGGCAGGTTATAAATACATTAGCTGCACGTATCGACTTTGCAGCGAGTGTGCACAAAGCCGGGTGTAACGCGGGAGGGAAGGACAGGCTTGAATAACCGCAACCAGGAAGCTTTTCACCTGAACTGAAACTGTCTGTGTTGAAGAAAGACAACAGCAGTTTTAAATACATTAGCTGCACAAATCTGGGTGTCACGCACAAGGCAAAAGAAGGCTTGAATCACGTGATATTACCACTATCATTCCGGGACGCTACCGACCGGAACTGAAACTGTCTGTGTTACAAGAGAGAGTGGTAAGCAGCTTTACACTATGCTTTCATCTTAAAACCGACGAAACCGGCAATTATATGACTTATCACAGCTGGGTTGTACTCCACTGGCTTGAAGCTCTTCAAACATTTGTATCCTCCGAGGCAGTATGTGTATACCAGTGTTAACCCCTGTATGCCTGGGGGCGGACATGTGTCCCTCATCTACTACATATATCGTTCACATTAATACACTTTGCAATGTTGAATTTTGAGGGATATTTCCCGTTTTTGGGGTGTCACCGACTATCATCTTTGGCAAAGCAAAGATTTTGAAACTAACCTCTGGGTATTTTGGGTACACCGGAAATGTCGCCTTTTTACACACATTACAAATTCGCAGTGATATTTCGTGTATGTTTTGAAAGTTAAAATCGGATTGAATTCCAAAAATAACATATGAGTGACTACTCATGCCTGTGTTTCTTTCTTCAAATCACAAACGATACTTCTTAAACGTCTAGTTGGGATGGGATGTCGGTTGGGATGTTTAGGGAAACGCGATCGCGAACGCGGAAGTGTTCCCCCATACTGTAGTGTTTACAAAATCATATTTCACGAAGCCCGTTGATGTGACGCCTATTGCATTACGTATAGTTTACACCTTGCTGCAGCATATGTCTCACCGGATTCCCTCATCCATAAAAATTAAGATCCATGACAACGACGTTATATATTTATTCGGTTAATATTAAAGACCGTAAAACGAAAGTAGGTATTGATCGCTTCCCAAGTTCAGAGTGACACTTTGTCATTATGCCTTTTTTCACGCTCGTTCCATTGACTTGCTATGTTCGTGCACTGAGCCACACACAAGCCATTTGATTTCCTGGTGGGAAATACCAACACGACGCCGGTGGATTTATCCCTTAGGCTTCATAGCACAGAAACATGTTAAGAAAAAAATATGAAAATTATATTTCATAGTGGTTAGTTTTGTCTTTGTGATTTCTGTTTCAAACACAAGTTCTAAAATTTGATCAAATCTCGTCACGGAAGCGGGACAGTACGTGTTGACAAACAAGCTGCCTTTCAAGTCACATCTGAAAGTAAGCAAAACCAAACCGCCATTGACTAAGGTTGAAAGGAAATATGTGTCGAGCTAAAAATATGACGGTACAATACAATGATTTGGTAAATTTGAATATCATTATCAAAGTTCATACTATTCAGCTGCTTTCAGTTTCAATATTTTGACGTATATTTTGTCTTTCTTTAGATATTGTTTCATCAATCTAATTTCCTTATGTACATTTTGACTTGTTAATTATCGTGTGATATGTATATCATTGTCATAATCCATGTTTATACTTTGAACATTTTTTAACAATATTTACATCAGAAACTGACACTTTCAGTGCACTGTATTTCTAACCTTGAGACGTGGTAGAAAATGAAATATGTACGTAGTCTCTATGGTGTGTAATAATCATTATTGTAATGTGTATAGATAGGTCAGTGAACAGAGATTTCATTGAATCGCATAAATAAAACTGACTATATAACTTTAAGAAAGTGATTAATATTTTTCATTAACTGTACATGCACACACATACATAGGGAATTGTCTTGGTCATGGATTTTGTATATGGACAGAACAGTTATGTCTGATGATTCGCCAGATGTGTTGTCACAAAACGGTTCAAGATTTACTCATCGTTTCTTTCTGAAACTGTACGAGATTTACCATAAACTTGTGTCAAACATGTATCCGAGTTGTCCACATATATACACAGTAAACCTATCTCATAGTTTATCACTGCGGGATATTATTGAAATATTAATTTTATGTTCAGTCAAAAGATTGTCCGATTCTGACTAACCGACCAAGATTTTGCAGCTGAGATGTATTCTACTCAACATATTAATGTCGTCTTCTGCAAACCACCCACGTAATCTTTTTGAGTGTGGAACAAAGAGAAACTGATGTCGGAGTAGCACGGACAAGATGCTGATTCAGAAATTGGTGGACCTTTAAAGAGTCAGGCTCTCAAATTCTAAATAGAAGACATATATTTCAGGGCGACTTCTTTAGTCCTTTGCTCTTTCAACTCTTCTTACTCAGAGTGGACAACATTGACCGCCAAGGGAGAATCTACTCTGAACAAAACAGACGATCCGTCAGCGACATTATATGTCCTTTGACTTATCCATCTCACCCAACCCAGGCCAATTTCGTGATATACATCTCAGGTGTGTATTTCAATAATGAATACATTTTATTTATTTACAGGTGATCTGCCAAAAGGAAATGTCATCGCTAAGACATTGGATTTTTGGAACAATAGTATCTTTATGCTGTAAGTAACTTTGAATGTTTGAATACGTATTTCTTTAACGTCACCCTAATTGCAGCAGATGAGACAATCCAATGCACACAAAATATATATCTGCAAAATATATATGTGCACCATCTTTTCAAAACGGGTGTAAATAGACGACAAATCGTAACTGTAGGTTATATATACAATAGTCCGTATGTTGTGTGGTAAATGTAAAATAAAGCAAACAGTTCATGTGTGTATGTTCTTGTCACATTTGTACAATCAGAAGAGGACAAAAGACACTGGTCAGCAGGTATAACTATGTTTGTAATTATAGGATTTAAACAGGTTTATTTACGTATGGAAATGTCACTTGGAAACTTTAAGCAGCACATTGGAGGTGGTATCATTCTATATGTATAATGCTGTTTGTGTGGTTACTTCATAGACAGTTTTCTCTCGCAAAGCGAAACTTGACTTAGATATACAGAGCAGAGAATCAATTGTTATGACTGCACCTGAATGTTGAAAATGTATATATTTGTTTCTGTTGTCTCAATGCAGACAATTTTCAGGAGATTTGTTATGTTCCTTTGGTATTTATACGTTTCAGGTTAACACACACATTGTCATGACCACTGGAGCACCAATCGGGGATTCGATAACTGAGCATATATTTAATTCTCATTTACAACACACAACATCTACATGTAGGTTGTATATAAACAGATTAAATGTATGACATCATAGGATGTCATAAGTAGCCTATTAAATCTAGTGGGTACCATTTACGTTTGTTCATTTCTAATTTCATTACCTAAATTAGATATTGATGATTTACCTTTGTTTCCAATAAACATTCATCAATGTAGCCTTTTAACAAAGCAGGACTATAGTGGGAGAGTACAAGACATAGCTACATGTTTCCCAAATCAAAAGTCATACTAGTTATTTAAAAATGGAAATCAGCCTGTAAAAGAACTCTATGTGAAACCAACAAATGTGTATTCCGATATTAACTTTACAAATCACTACAAAGGTATTACGGTTGAAGTTCGAATTAGTGTAGCAGTGCAAATTCAAAGACAGTATACAAAAGCAGTGATTATAGCAATACAGACTGAGATACTAACATCCCTGTAATTGCAATCTCCACGTAATTGCTGTTTTCGTGTAACTTGAGAAGTAAAGATGCGACACAATCGACAACTATCTTGGTCAGGATATAGTGGAAAGTCCATAGGGTTGTAGTTCCCTGTAGAGCTGTTGTCTAAATGCTACCTATACGTATTACAATTCTACTGCATAAATTTGTAAAATTAGTTAATCTTTATATCAAATTCTTAATTGTTAAACATTTCATCGTTTGTTGATGCTTTCAATTTTCCTTGCGTTAAAGCTTTTGTCTAAACGGGTATGTAATCTGTTTTATGACAAAACTTGAAACGTGGATCACCTATAATGTGTTTCAGGTTTGGCTGTAGGTGATAAAGAAGAGTGCGAGCCTGGAAAATATGGGGATGGTTGTAGTCAAAATTGTTCTCACGGCTGTAAACCTTTTCCAAATAACGAAGTGCGCTGTCACAAGGAAACTGGAAAATGTTTCGAAGGATGCAAAGTGGGAGTGTACGGTGACCTGTGTGATCAACCATGCAACAGAAATTGCAAAGACCACATCTGTATCCAGCAAAATGGACACTGCGCTTTTGGCTGTATAGAAAATCACATCGGCGACTTCTGTGAGACTTCCCAAGGTTAAAGAAGTTTTAAACATTAAAATACGATAAGAGGAAAGTGAACGTATAATGCGAACGATGGCAAATGCAAAATTTTCTTTGTGATATTATCTCAATACATTTAACTCAAAAGCTGTATTGTAATTTTAGTAGATGTACAATGTTCAGAGTGTCATTTATAAAATATTTGTAAGAGGTGTGAAAAACATTAGAAGAACAGCTAAACCACAATCGTCTCTTCTGTTTGCAATTGAACTTCGAGGATTTTGAGTGTGTGTTCACGTTATCAGTTCTTTTATCCCTGTGCAGGTACTACCTATAGCAGTCATACAACCGTTACCACAGGTGTGACAGGCAGTTCCCAGGCTATCCTTCCAGCTGTAACCGTATCTGTCCTTATACTTATCCTTATCCTAATTGTCGTGGGCTTTGGGATTTTCTTCAGAAGGTAAGTTCTAAAAGACTGCTTCTTTCGTTCATTTACTGTTTATTGAGATAATTGGCAATATTCCAGCTTTATGAAAGTGGACTGTAATTAATTCACCATCTGATAATATTTGCCAATCAACCAGACAATCCACTGATTCATATCGTAAACATCGATCCACACATCAGGGACAGGGTGACGGCATCAGTCATGTCAACCATCTTAAATCAGATCCCATTAATCGTGACAAAAAACAAACCTCAATTACAAATCATTGTCCCGATTACAGTGATGACAAGCTATAGGGCAAAGTTATGTGAGTCATGATTTAGAGTGAATTGCGTGTCAAGGATAAGAGTGATCTGTGTATCCTTTGGCTGTCATCGTCAGGTTTAGTGGCACCAGGTGTCACAGGTGATACGAATAAGAATGAGTAATGGGCAAAATGTCCAGAAGTGTATGTTTTCATTAAACATGATTTATCATGAAGTAGAGACACAAGGGGGTTGTACCTCCGATAGGTCACTACACGACCTGTGACAGTCTTAAAACTGTTAAACCTTTTTTGACTGGCATGGATTGCTGAATACCTATTTCTAGCCAGATTTGCACGGGACAATGAAATTGTGCGCTGGTGGAGGAGACGCATCGAAATGGCAAATCTTTAAGAGTTTCACAATCTCGAGGTACGTCACATGGAAACAAACTTAAACACTCAACTCAAACCGTATTCAACATTCCTTTAACTAACTGTGATGAGAAGTTTGTTGTCACATGCACCTCGCGAGTCAAGTGAGTCAAGTGTGTCTTGGTGGGAGTAATTGGTTGTTGGTGTAGTCAGGAAGATGAGAAAAAACACATGTCACAGTTGATGCCAAGAGGAGTTATTGATATGTATAAGTGTCCCAAACAACAGGTCTGTCCACATCCGAGATACCTAGTGCTCCTTCTAAAAATAATATCATGTCTAGTTTCGTACATCACGCAATTTCAGACTACATACATCGTTTTGTTGGCAATGTATTAATTGTACACCACAAACAACAGTAGCATCTCACAGGTTCGCCCTGGCGTCCTTTATCGTACAAGTCTCCCTGACCTCAAAATGACGATGAAAAAAACACGAATCACAATAATTGTGTCTCTTTTCGACATTAGTCCTGCTAGATTGCCTTAGTGAGTGAGTGAGTGAGTTATTATTTAACGTCACATCGGCAGTATTTCAGCCATATCGTGACGAGAACATTTGACATTGAAATAGAATACAGATAGATATTGCAAAAAACCTGCCGACGAAGGACAGTAAAAATACTAGCTTATCGCAGATATGAATATAAAACTAGCGAACAAAGCTAAAACATTCCAATTAAAGAAGACAAGACAATGTAAAAAGGGGCTATAGATCGCCAACAACTGAAGGTAGATCACCATACCAGGGACCATGGGGACTTACATTACCTTTGCTACCTGCATGGACCCTAGCTGGATTTACACCATCCCTTCAGCCATTGTCGTTTACACCGATAATTAGCCATACATTAAAATTACAAAAATACTACGCTTAAAACACCTGGTATACTTAAATGTACTTGAAATGTTTGGGACTTACGTACCCTTTCAGGAGGACAATAATTTTACAATACTTCAACCCCCCCTTTGAGGATACAGCCACTAACAATCTAAGTTACTAATCAAATCTACCAATAATTAAAATACAGATATGTACAGAACATATTATTCAAAATTCAATCATTAAGTCAATTTCTTTTAAAAAGCCAATAATTAAATGAAAATTAACATTGTTAAAAAGATCCTTAACTGTTTTCACATTAAAGTATTTATCCCTTATGATGGAGAATTCAACACAGTCAAGCAGGACATACTTGACACTGGTTCTCTCATCACAAGGGATAGAAAACGGAGGATCCTCACCTTTCAATAGGTATTTGTGAGTGTATCTAGTGTGGCCAATACGACATCGTCGCATGATGACCTCTTCAAATCTGGACTGACAACCCAAGTAAGTGTAACCGATATAGGGTTTTATTTCATGTAATTTATGGATACCTACTTGGGTGTCCCACTTCTTCTGCATCAGATCACGGATGTAGGTTCTAATGCAAGCTTTGTAATCAGAGTAAGGAATAAGAAGTGGTGTCACGGATTTGTTGAGTGCTGTCTTGGCAGCAAGATCAGCCATTGTATTTCCAGAAATGCCAACGTGGCTGGGTAACCAACAGAAGACGATGTCGCATTGGCCAGTAGCAAGTTCATTGTACAATTCAATAATTTCTAATAAAAGTGGATGTTTGCAAGAAAGATTTTTAATAGCCTGAAGACACGAAAGAGAATCAGAAAAGATGACATATTGTTTATATTTACGGTGTTTATTAATATATTTAAGAGCTGTTAGTATTGCGTTTGCTTCTGCTGTGAAAATTGAACTGTCATTGGGTAACCTGGAAGAGATTGTTTTTGACCCAATGACAGTGGCACAAGCAACCGCGCCACCATCCTTGGACCCATCTGTAAAGAAGGATTTATCTGTATTATATTTATTTCGTAATTGACTAAATTCTTGTTTATACTGTAATTCATTTGTTTCTGACTTTTTAAATGTAGTTAATGTTAGGTCAACTTGTGGCCTAACCAATTGCCAAGGCGGAGAAGATAGAAGACGGGCAGGGGTTATAGTTTCAAGATCAATGCCGGCAGCAGAAATGAATGGTTTAATTCTGAGCCCAAGAGGCGGAACAAGAGAAGTCTTTTTGTTGTACAAATCCTCATAAAGAGGATTGAAAACACAGTTAAATGCAGGATTAGACTCGTTAGAATATAGTTTTGTTATGTACTGTAAGGATAATTTTATACGCCGTTGTTGAAGAGAAGGCTCATCGGCCTCGACATAGAGATTGTCAATAGGAGAAGTTCGAAAGGACCCAAGACAAAGTCTCAGGCCTTGGTGGTGGACAGAATCTAAAAGTTGAAGGTTGCTTTTGCAGGCTCCACCATATACGATGGAGCCATAATCAAGTTTTGAGCGGACCAATGATCGATATAGATGTAGGAGAGTGGCTTGATCCCCTCCCCACTTTGAAACGACTTTCAGTAAATCAAGGGCCTTCAGGCATTTAGTTTTAAGGGATTTAATATGCGGCAGAAACGTTAAATGAGAATTAAATATTAAACCAAAGAATTTGGCCTCCTTTACAACTTTGATGGGAGTGCCATTGAGAAACAGTTCCGGGTCTTTATGCGGTTTATATTTTCTACAAAAATGTATACAATTAGTTTTTGATTTAGAAAATTTAAAGCCGTTTTCAAGACACCATTTATTTATTTTATTTATACACAGCTGCATTTGCCGTTCAATAGTATGCATATTCTTACCGCGACATGAAATATTAAAATCATCCACAAAAAGTGATCCATCAATTGAATCATTTAAAACCTTTGACAAAATGTTAATCTTGATACTAAATAACGTGACAGACAAAATACTGCCTTGAGGGACACCCTGATCCTGATTATAATGGTCAGACCGGGTAGAACCCACTCGGACTTGAAATTGCCTGCCTCTTAAAAACTGTGATATAAAAAGAGGTAAACGACCCCTCAAACCAAAATCATGTAAATCCTTCAAAATGCCATGCTTCCAGGTCGTATCATAAGCTTTCTCAAGATCAAAGAAAATTGATACAGCATGTTGTTTAATTACTATAGCATTTTTAACAAAGGATTCTAAACGTACCAAATGATCAATGGTACTACGATTTTTCCTGAAACCACATTGTATATTTGTTATAAGGTTATTGGTGTCAAGATACCAAGTTAATCTATTATTCACCATACGTTCCATGGTTTTACAGACACAGCTAGTTAGAGATATTGGTCTGTAATCTGACCGATCTGTATGATCCTTGCCAGGTTTTGGTATTGGTACTACAATGGCATTACGCCACGAGGGAGGAAAATTTCCGGACGTCCATATTTGATCAAATAGATCTAAAAGTGTCATCAGACATGGTTCAGGTAAGTGTTTCAGTAGCTGGTAATGTATATTATCATCACCCGCCGCAGTGTCATGAGCTTGCTCAAGAGCAGTATGTAGCTCATGTAATGAAAACAATTCGTTATAATCTTCACCGTTATTTGATTCGAAATTAAGTTTTATCTTTTCCTGTTGTTTCTGGTATCTCTGAAACTCGGGGACATAATTTGCCGATGAAGAATTTTTGGCAAGAGTTTCGCCAATTTTATGTGCAATTTTAGATTTGTCAGTAATTAAATTGTCACCATCTTTAAGATGATGAACAGCAGACTTTAAACCTTTGCCTTTAATTCTTTGAACCATGTTCCATACTCTGGACATTGGCGTACGTGAATTAATTTTGGAGACATAATTCCTCCAAGATTGTCGTTTGTTTTGTTTGAAGGTACGACGTGCCTTCGCATTGAGTATTTTAAATTTATTTAAGTTATGGACAGTTGGGTGATGGCGGAAATAGTTCTCTGCCTTTTTCCTCGCTTTTCTGGCTTGCCTACAGTCTGTATTAAACCATGGTTTCCGTACATGTGGAGTTGTAGAGGACTTTAGTATACACTCATCAGCTATTTCATTTAAAACGTCAGAATAAACCTCAATAGGATCAGTTATATCACTGAAATATTCGGGTCTTAGTTTAGATGTGCATAACGTTTGAAATAAGGACCAGTCTGCCTTGGAAAATTGCCATCTTGTATAAGATGTAGAATCAGATTGATAAATTGCTGATAGGAAAGTTGGAAAGTGGTCACTTCCACAGAGGTCATTGTGGACTGACCAATCAAATTCATAGAGGAGGTTAGAGTCTGCAAGAGACAAATCTAGAGAAGAGTAAGTGCCGGTTGCAGGATGCAGGTAAGTGCTTGAATCGTCATTGTATATACACCAATCATTATTGGATATAAAATCTTCCAGTATTTTACCTTTTGAGTTAGTGTTTGTACCACCCCAGATCGGGTTATGGCCATTGAGATCACCCATTATAATACAAGGTTTAGGAAGTTGGTCATAGAGAGCTTGAAGATCAGACTGCTGGAGTGTCGAAGAAGGGGAGCATAGTGTAAAGGTAACATGAAGAGTAAGTCTCACTGCAACGGCTTGGAGATTACTTGAGAGTGTTACAGGACTATGGATAACATCCTGCTTAACAAGTATCGAAGACCCTCCAGAATTATATGCAACGAACTGACGTAAATTAAAAATATCTGTCTGCTTCAGATAAGTTTCCTGCAGACAGAAAGCTGATGGTGCAAAATCTTGGATTAATAGCTGTAACTCATTAAAATTGGACCTTAATCCTCTACAGTTCCATTGTACTATAGTATTATTATTTTCTGACCCTTTAGGTGTTCGATTTGATTTGGACGTTTCTGTTCTGGTCTTGAATTTCGATTTGGCAGTTTGTTTTTCATTTCTATCAGACTGAGAAGGAGTGATGGTTTTAGGAGATACGATTTGTTCGGTAGAAACTATTGTATCTGTCTGTGTAGACTGTTCAGGGGAGATAGACTGGGGAATATCTGTATTCACCCATGTCAGGTCAGTCTGACATGAACTTGACGCAGTCATTATTGGTGAAGATGGTCGTTTTGAGGATGTTTCAGGTGTTTTGGTGACGGAGGCGTACGTTTCCGTGTGTTCAGTAGATAGGACAATCTTTTTTGCTTCAGCAAAACTGATATTCTGGGAAAATTTGATTTTATTAACTTCCATTTGCCTTTTCCAAATTGGACATTCTTTATAAAAGGATGAATGACTTCCAGAACAGTTTGCACATTTTTTGTAATTACTGTCACAATCTTCTGTTACATGTGTATTCTCAGCACAGTGAGCACATGTAACAGTCAATGTGCAAGTATTAACACCATGTCCGTACTTTTGACACTTGAATCAGCGCAGAGGATTAGGAATATATAGGTCTACATTCAGATTTCAGTAACCTGCTTTGATTGACTTAGGAGGATTTGGAGCTGAAAATGAAACCAGATAGGTATTGGTTTGAACAGTCTCATTATTTTTCCGAGTTGTAAAACGTTTGACGAAAGATACTCCTTGATCTTTCATCTCAGATACAATATCGAGCTCAGTCATGTCTGCTAGAAGATGATCACGGTCTCGAACAATACCTTTGCTAGAATTCAGCGTTCTGTGAGCAGGAACTAACACCGGGACTCCGATAAACATATCAGTTGATAACAGGTTAGTAGCTTGTTGTTTTCTGCTACATTCAATTAGTAGCGATCCTGAGCGCAAGCGTTTGATGTTTTTTACCTCACCTGCAATGCCAGAGACACCTTTTGAAATAGCAAATGGATTCAATTTGAACGGAGTCTTGTCAAGAGTCTCTAGAAACCAAAAACCGAGGCCAGTAATCAATGAGTATAGAGGGACGTTGCTGATCATCATTTTCCAGTGGACGTTTGGTATTTTTGTTTGGGGTTTGGTAATCCATGATTGTTGGTATATTGTTTCGTCATCCCAGCTCCCCACCCACCACGGAGTGTCATCAAAGACGATGCTATATACAAGTGGATCTCCGACTTGCAGCACCAAGGATACTGGGATGATATACTCAAGCAGAAAGATTAAACAAGTAATCCATCTACCAGATTGGCCCATGAGCCATCGCCGTCTGGGCATAAGACTCTAGGCAATTTAAATGGTACATATTTCAAAATCAAGTGATGTTTTATAAACAAAAAATGCGTCAAGACCTAAAGTCAAAAATGTAGTACAGAATATAAATTTTGTGCAGATACAATTTAATGCACAGGGCTCGACATGACCAGCCGATAGAACCGGGCCCATTCTACCACCCGTCTAGGTGAAATAAGGGGCGAAGTGGTGTGTTGGGCAAAGGAACACTGTTCCTGGAACCAGTGCCCTCAACCACCAGCCTCCCGTCCTCCACCGACACAGGGGCGCAACCCACGGCAAACGGGTTGGTGGACCAAATATCCCCCGGGTCCACAACGGGGGGTCGAAGGGCGCTTAGCGTTACCCAGCACCCACCACGAGGAGGCGGCCCTTCATGGGTGCCGAAATTGCCTTAGTATGTAAGGAAGAAAAAAACCCTTCTAGCCCTGTCGATATATATGTTACAGGGATGTGTGAAACCAAGAATTTCACGTAATCCCTAAAAGAGTCAGTGAATTCGTGGAATTTCACGTATACCCTAAAATTTCAAGGTATTTCATGAAATTACTGACTCTTTAAGGGATTACATGAAATCCCTGGTTTCACACATTCCCTGTAACATATATACTACCATGGAAATGACGTAACACAGCATCGTTGATGCAGGATGGTTTTATTAAGGAGGGAGTACAGTTGACTTCAATGGCTCTGCTTCTGGCTCTCACTCGGGTGTGCTGCTGGTGGAGTTGCTTGGTTTGGGTCAGTTGTCTGTCTGCCTTGCCGTCTGCTGTCTCTGAAATAACCTTCGATATGATAGGAAGTAAATCGTGACTTATTTTAGATCGCCTGACACGCATTCATGACTACTTCCTTCTGGAAAGTGATCGATGTCCAATATCGCCAAGATATGTAAATTTGTTAACTGAATAATTATGTTAATCCATCTCAAAAGCCGGCACCAAACACAATTCATAGTAACATGCCTTTAAGAGGGTGGCAAGCTATGCAGTTACAAATAATGGAGTCGAAGCTGATGCAGTATTGCGAATTAGTCTTCTTCAAAGCTGAACTAGTTGTATAAACCTCATGTAAGTCATCTGGAGGCTCGGAGGTGTTGGCAAAGACGTGTCCTGAAGGTGTTTACATTTACCAATATTTCTCTTGTATTTCGTTCCTACTTTCAGGCGCAGAGAGAAAGAGAGGAAGAAAAGTAAGTTAACATATTCTGTTTTCATTTCATCGAGTAACCAATACCAATTCCAATCAGCATTTCAAGTACGCCTGAAGCTTCCGTTATTCTGTCATTGCCCTGTGTCCTCACGTCTCCCAGTAGAAATCTGTGAGAAGATTCCACTGAAGTTAAATATTTCATCAGGCGATTGATTTACTTCCTTTGATAGACAGGATGCGATGTTGTTTCTGATATCACCGACCTGTTTCTCTTGTTGATTTCGTATTTACGACTTTCAATCAAAAAGTAGTCGGCCTAACTACATTCCTGATGTCCAATGTTTGAAACACTTCCATTTTATTTTGAATGGATCATTAACAAAGCCATATCCAAACTTTCACATATGTGGGTAATGTGATTAACGAAATAGTAGTCATCACAACAATATTTCTTAAAGGTCACATGCAACGTAAAACACAACTTTGCAGATGCTGATACCTTTCGGTATGGACTTACCGAAACAAATAATCAAAAATGCAAATTCAACTTATAAAGTTGAAAAATAACGCGACGAAAAAACCGCGCGAAATCGGAGTTCAAACGATTCACTAATTTTCCCAGCGCTTGGGGGGAAAGTGGTTTTCAACATCTGGGCTGCGCTGCGCTAGGCTGCACTCATAGCACATGCGCAGTGAAATAGGTTCGCGCAGCTTGGAAGCGGGTTGTCCGGTGAATACTCGGTGAAGGCTTTGGCGTGAGCTATTTTTCTAATGTGTTGTTGATATTTCACAGGCGCGACCTTTTTATATGTTATGACAGTAGATTACCGATTTAACTGTTTATATAATTTCATTTGTCTATTTCACCACACGTTCTTCTTACCGAGTCACTTTCTCAGTTCGATACTTAAAAGCAATGTCATTATTTAGCGTTGATAGAACTTCTAACTTTGATATAGATATGTCGTTGTCACAGACAAAACTCAATGTCTTTTTTATTGACACCTATGTGTCTGCCTGCCTGTCTGCTAATGCCAATATTCAATATACAACTTCGATCACTGACCAAATGCAATTTGAACTTAACACCTATCAGGCTTTTCACCATAAACAAAACGCATTGATTTATGGCCCGAATTCGGTCTCTGTCACATTATGTAATTACACAGACAGGCAGGTGTGATACTTGTACACATGACATGTTATGATGTCTGTTGATTGCAAAATGTTATACACAAAAATGAGCATGTATTTACAAACCCCAAAATCTCTATATACACACACACAATGAACCGTGAGGGCATCTGCAAATGAACCAGCCGTTACACTTTAGTGCACACCCACCCGCTCTGACTGGGTTCGGTATCCCGGCTGCTTCGTTTCTTTGGAAGTAAACCCAAATACAAAATATTGCACTTTTGATTTGCAATTGTACGCTTATAATTTTGTTTATATGTTTTTTCATAATCAGCAATGTATATTACATGTCATGAATAAGTGATAATTGTGTTTATATTATGTTGTTTTTTTTGGTTGCATGTGACCTTTAAAGAAAATGCAGAAAATGAAAATGATCTGTCATTTGGTACCTCTTTGATAATGATATGCTCTCAGAAAATATCACATGAAATGTGTTCTGTATAGTTTGGGATGACTTACCGTCATAATCAAAATGGAAGATTTTGATTGCTTCATTTGTATTTAGACAGGGGCTGTTTTAAGGACACAACATTTTAGTCTTTGACAACATTTCGTCTAGATATTCAAGCTGGCAGTGTTTACAATATATTGAGAGTTAACACGTGTGTGACAACTCAGTATTTAGCTCGAACCCTTGGCAGCATGTATGAATTAGTGAAAACATGAGAATAAGTATTGTCCTTATGATTATGTCATTTGGTAGTGTCTCCAAAAGAACTTCTTTCAGTAAACAAGCGATTGTAGCTTCAAATTGCTTTTTTATGCACTTTCATGTCTCAGTTTGATTCTAGCGGACTTCTATCTATCTCAAACGTTTTGGGGGCTATCATGTTAAAAAGTCAAAATGGGGATCGTGGCGCTGGAAAATAGCAAAACCAGTTTGCTTGAGGTTGACAGATAGTATATAGAAAAATATAACATAAAAAGAGCTCTATTTGCATCATTTTCGAGGTGAAACACCCTCGTATTTGTGGGTTACCATAATCATATGACTTAAAATGTCCTTAAAAACAAACTTAGTCATTGTCATTGTGTCCACTAAACTTACAGTTGGAAATTTTGTTCTTAATAATACATATTAATAGGCCTAAGTTTGTGGTTGCATTCGTTTTGGTTTCTGCTTCAGAGAATAGATAAACATCAATATGCTGAATCAGTACACATCACATCTGATTTCCTTTCTCATCTTCAGGGGCACGTGACTCCAAGGTTAGGCAGAGTTGTCTCGAAGGTATGATACTTTGACAAGAATAAATTTTTAAACGTATCCTATCTCACGATTTGCACTTCTCTCTCTTGCTTCAACACTGAGTGGAACGAATGAGAACTTTCCCTGCAGGCCTTGTCCATACGCCCTTGTTCCCTAGGCTGCTCTCTTTTTTGGACAGGTCCCTGGTCCCTGGTTAAGCGTGTAGCACGCTCCCCTATCTACTCACGTGACTACCGCAGAGTGATCATTCTTCTTCGTGTCGCACCACTGTGTGGACGTTGTCAGTTTTCCTTAGAAGTTATCATGAGAAATATATCATGGGTAGCTGACCCTAAGTAGCACAATTTTGCGCGCAGTGTAAACAATATTTTCTTCCTCGGATCCCCACTCGTCATGTGTGGATTGTATTGGCCTGTGTTTCTGTAGCAAGCGCTGTCGGGAACGTGTTCCCTTATCAAAGACACTTTTAGAGCATATAGTCGAGCTTGCTCCCGTTTGCTGACAGACAGAGCTCGTTATACGCCAACAGGGCATGGTCGATCGATCACCCGACAAAACCCCACTTTCGACGACCCGTATTTACTGCTCGTCGTTCGAAGATTCCCATGTCGGAAGGTAATGATGTTTGTGCCCCAGGACATTAGGGACAAGATTCAGTACTAGTACTGGCCCAACCCAGAACTCTTCGCCAGTGGCAGCAGTTACTAGGGTGGTTGACGTCGGCACAAGTGCTGACTTACAGGGGCCAGCTGCAGTTTCGCCCTCTTCAGATGTTTGTGTGCATCCGGGACGACAACCCCAGGGGGTTGTTTCGTCTTCCTGCACAACTAGACCCAGTCCTTCGTTGGTGGCTCAACGGGCGGAATGTTTGCGGCGGAGTCTATATGGTGCCGTTAACACTGACTGAACACCTGTTCGTCGGCGCATCTCTTGTGGACTGGGGCGCTCACTTTCTCCATCAAGTGGCCGAGCAGTGGTCATCAGGAGAAAGGGCCCTTCATATCAATGAATTCAGCGCTCCCATTCTCGCCGTTCGGCATTGGGCAGTCCTCCTATCTACTGATTCAATCAGACAATTCAGTGGTAGTATGGTACATAAACCATCAGAGCTCGACAGGATCGGCAGCTCTGCTTCTGTGGACGTTTCGATTTTATCATGTAATCAGTTTACTCAACATAGTGGCCAGAGCCCAACACATTAGCTGTACGTTCTCTCCGATCAAATGACCAGTGTCTTTTGACAATTCCTGTGACTAGGACAAAAACATATGGTGACAGGTCACTTGAGATGGCTGGGCCTCATCTCTGGAACAATCTTCCATCTCACCTCAGAACACAACCAGATTTATCTGTTTTTAAATCAAATCTGAAGACATGTCTCTTTGGTGAAGCATTTGAACTATATGTGATATCTTGACCATCTTAGAGCCAGAGCGCCTTTGAGCGGATTACGGATATTGGCGCTATATAAGTATTTGTATGTATGTATGTATAGAGTAGCTACTGCTATAACATCTGTGCACAGGACATTGACCCGATTGTTGTATGACGATAAATGGAAGAAATTTGAACATTACTGTGTAATTAGGAGAATTGATTCTGCCAACACTGCATCACCTCAGGTTGTTGCGGAATTTCTCCAGCATTTACATTTAAAGAACCTTAAAGGTACTACATTGTCAACCTGTCTAGCTGCCATTAATTCGGTTCTAGCCACTATTGCTGGAACCAAGGTGTCTACTACCCCTGAGCTCCAGTATCTGATTCGTTCGTTCAGACTCACTGACCAGTCTAGGAAGCTCAGACCTCCTGCATGGGATTTGTGAGTTGTCCTCCGTCACTTGGTATCCAGTGACCATGAGCCACTACATGATAAGGAGGGGTTGGAACAAATAACGTTTAAACTTTCTTTTTAGTAGCATTAGCTACTGCAGCTCGTATTTTGGAGTTACACGCACTCAATGTGAAACATGTGCATTTTGAATGGAAACGACATTTTCTGGGACTGCCTTTTGACTTTGTTGCAAATAACCAGTTGCCAGGACAACCGGATAGGATGTTCACTATCCCACCGTTGTCAACCATCCTTGAGTCCATGCAGGTAGCAAAGGCACTGCAAGTCCCCATGGACCCTGATATGGTGATCTACCTCCAGTTGTTGGCGATAAATAGCCTGTTTTTATATTGTGTTATTGTGTATAGTGATATATTTTTTATGATAGCGTGCTAGTTTTAAATTAAGAGCTGTGATATTCTAGTAGTTTTACTGTCCTTCGCTGACAGGTTTTTATGTTTTCAATTTATTGATTCTTTTATTGATATAAATTAAATTGTTCTCATCACGATATGGCTGAGATATTGCCGATGTGACGTTAAATATTAACTCACTCACTCAACCATCCTTGAGCCAGATGATGTTGAAGATGTGTCTCTCTGTCCTGTCCTGTCATCTTCCTAGCTGCCTCCCAAGAGCGTCGCCATCTTAACAAGAGACTATTCATCGTGCTGTCTACTAAAGCTGAGGTCTTTCAGACATCCTTCCGGATGCGCTACTATACTGAGGGCGTACGCTTTTGCTGGAATTCCACCCCCGACCCAATTCATATGAGACCCGGGCGTTAGCCTCTACGATGGCTTTACACAACAACTGCTCCTTGACGGCCATCATGGAGGGTTGCTTTTGGCGCTCGGATAGAGTATTTTTCCTCACATTATCTGAGGGACTTACCCGTCACTGACGTTCAGGGTTTCCAACACTTTGGACACCTTGTATTGGCCCAGCAGGTGTCATCAGCCAATCAACGCAGATGAGTACAGTGCGCGTCAATTCAGTCGATCTCCAATACATACTGAATAAAATTCTGAATTGTCCTTCTGAGTTTTGTTCGCAATTCTTCAGGGATTAGAACTCTTCACTCAGTTTTATTGTGTGCAATTAGTGCCTATATACGGATCTACAGTTGTTAGTTCTCGTATTGGCGATGTAGAAGTGTTCGACAATCTCGCTTGCTGACCTCTACTCCACGGAGCAATCATGTCAGTGTAGTGAGTTCTTCCCGACTTTATTTTGGATTTCGTGGCGTTCTAGCTCCTAAGTACCTTAGCACACCGTTGTGACCTAACTGTGGTAAGTAGTGGAAGTCATGTCTTGTTGGTTTGGTACTGAACGTTAAACTTGGGAGCTTTCCGATTCAGTTTCATTTTCCCCTCTTCGAGATGGGGTCTGGGGAGTTGTCTCGAAGCAGGTACAGGCCCGATTATTAGTAGTAAGACTTTAATTACGGGGATACTCTGATAAATCGTGACAAAGCAAGGTGACTTGCATAGTTGCATCCCTTTGCGTAAGCAAGGGTTGCGGCCAAACACCACATCGCTCGGGAGCACCCACGCCTTATGAGCGTTCGTGCCTAGTAAGCCAAGGGCTTCAGGAGAACCCATCACTATGCTAGTTGGATCCGGCCTGTCTTGTTCCTTGCTATCTACGGTTGTCTTCAGCCTATACAGTGTATACTGTCAGTGCTTTGTCCTGGGGTAATCTGCTACCTGCCGTCCAACTGTGGGATAAGTATAAAAATTTGGAAATTAAGTTTTTTAAATATAAATTGTATATTTATATACTTATCCTATCTCACGCGATGGATGCCCGCCCAGCCTCCCCACTTCTCAGATTACAGTGGCTACAGTTAAGTATCATTGACTCCAATAAGAGAATGATCACTCTGAGGTAGTTACATGGGTAGATATGGGCGCGTGCTGCTATAAAGAGAGCAGCATGGGGAACACGGGCGGCGTATGGACAAGAGAGGCCTGCAGGACTCCCATTTGAAAATGACTTAAGACCACATTGAAACATCTTTTTGTGCGTTGGCGGAGCCAAGAGGTGTTCAGGGGGTTTTAACCCCCTGAACCATCCCCCCTTTCAAAATTCCTGGATCAGCCCATGAGTTCTCATTCGTTCCACTCAGCGTCGAAGCAAGAGAGAGAAATGCAAATCGTCAGATAGGATAAGTATATAAATATACAATTTAGAGTTAATATTTCTCAGTATCCCCTTTCAAGGCTGTTCCATCCAGGTTACAACATCCATCATCGTTCTAGGATAAAGCCTTCCATCATCAATTGCAGTGTAGCAGCAGCAACTTCCGACATTGCACAATAAACACCACCCTCAACATCACAAAAGCCGGAAATACTTGACCATTTAACGAGGACAGTCCCGGTTCTCTCTGCTAGAAGTTAGATATGTAATAATTAATTTTCATCGTCCAGGTAGTAGGGATGGTTTGTGGCCTTTGTCTTATCGGATGTAGTTGTTCACCAATATCTGCCGACTACATGTGAGGATGGTTTGATGCAATGCTGTTCTATATTATACATAACGGCTACCCCCCTATATCCATGATTAAAGTTAACTGCTTTAGAAAATGATTTCGCCTCAATCATAATCCAGGTCACAAGGTTTCTCTTTACATTGTTATATATTGTCTTTTGGACAATGCGTTTGTTCACAGACCCTCACAATATAGCTGGAATATTGCTGAGTGCGGTGTTAGACAACAAACAAACCGGGTCCGCTAGGAGATGTTGACATATGTTACTAACGCTTCTTGCAGATTCGTCACATGACAACTGTACGAGAGGACGAACAGTAAACATTAAAAATGGCGACCAAACTGCTTGAGTGAATGGGTTAGAATTGATGTTCAGTAACCCATGCTTGTCGTAAGAGATGAGTAAAGGGATCGGGTGGTCAGGCTCGCTGGCTTGGTTGACACATGTCATTGTATCCCAGTTATGCAGGTCGATGTTCATGCTGTTGATCACTGGATTGTCTGGTCCAGACTCGATTAATTATAGACCGCCGCCATATAGCTGGAATATTGCTGTGTGCGACGTAAAACAAAACCCACTCACTCACATAAGTGAATGAGGATGGTTTTATGCCGCTTTTAACAATATTCCCGCAATATCACCGCGGGGATACCCAAAGTGGTCTTCACACATTGTATCCAATGTCCTAGAATAATTTTTTTAAATAGAAATGACAATACCCTTTCCACATCCATAAGAAATCTCTCCTAAAACCAGGGTCAGTTGTTAATTCTGACTATATCATGGGTTTGTATTTGTTTCAACAATATTAAGTAAACGTATTCTGTACCCATTTCATGGAGTTACCAATAACAATTCCAAGTGTATCTTACAGTTCTGTTAATCTGGTGTCTCCCAGCGGAAATCTGTGGGATTTCCATGATAGATTCGGTGACATGTTATTGTCGTTAGATGCCACTGAAATCAATAATTTGATCAGGGTCTGAGACCCTAGACATCATAGTCGGAAATCCAGTTCTTGCCAGTATATATTGATAGCCCTAATTTTTGTGGTTTCAATATTTTAGACACATGAACATAGCATAGATGCACAACAATTTACTGAATCAATATACATTACATATCATTTGCTTTCTGATCTTCAGGTGCACGTGACTCCGACGACGTTGAGGAGGGATTACGCCCAGGTATGCCAATAGCGATACTTTGACAAATGTATCTGTTTCCTTTCAAAGCTGCTCCATCCAGGTTACAAAATCCATCATCGTTCTAGGATAAAGCCTTCCATCATCAATTGCAGCAACAAATTCCGACATTGCACAATAAACACCACCCTCAGCATCACCAAAGCCGGAAATACATGACCATATAACGTGGACAGTCACAGGTCTCTCTGCACGATGTTAAATGTGTAATTATTAACTTTCATTGTTCAGGTAGTAGGGACGGTTTGTGGCCTTTTAATTAACGCATGTCTTTCTTCACCAATATTTGCGGACTACATGTGAGCATGGTTGGATGTAAGAATGTTCCATATGATATATTCACCACAATCGCGGTTCAGGTCTCAATCAACGTTTCTCCTTGCGTAGTTATATGTTTGCTATCCTGTTTAAGACAAAATACAATACATTGAAAACCAGACAGCTCCAGAGTCGATACTCGTTTGTTCTCAGACCGCGTCACAACATAGCCGGAATATTGCCGAGTACGGTGACAAACATCAAATCAGATCCAATAGGCTATATTCACATATGTTACTAATACTTCTTGCAGATTTCTACACTCGACAACTCTACGAGAGTTCGAAAAGTAAAAATAAAAATGTCTATCAAACGTCTTGAGTGAATGGACGCCTGAACATCCGGGTTAGAATTGATCTTCAGTGACCCATGCTTGTCGTAAGAGGCGAGTAAAGGGATCGGGTGGTCAGGCCCGCTGACATGTCATCGTTTCCCAATTGCGCAGATCGATGCTCATGCCATTGATCACTGGATTGTCTGGTCCAGACTCGATTATTTACAGACCGCCGCCATACAGCTAGAATATTGCTGAGTGCGGTGTAAAACTAAACAATGAGGATGGTTTTATGCCGCTTTTAACAACATTCTCGCAATATCACGGCGGGAGACACCAAAAATGGGCTTCACACATTGTATCCAATGTCCAAGATTCTTTTAAATAGAAATGACAATGCTCTTTCCACATCCATAAGAAATCTCTCCTAAAGGACGACCCTAGACATCATAGTCGGAAATCCTGTCCTTGCCAATATATATATTGATAACTCTAATTTTTGTGGGCGCAATATTTTAGACACATGAACATAGCACAGATAAACAGCAATATACTGAATCAATATACATTACATATCATTTGCTTTCTGATCTTCAGGTGCACGTAACTCCGACGACGTTGAGGAGGGATTACGCCCAGGTATGCCAATAGCGATACTTTGACAAATGTATCTATTTCCTTTCAAAGCTGCTCCATCCAGGTTACAAAATCCATCATCGTTCTAGGATAAAGCCTTCCATCATCAATTGCAGTGTAGCAGCAGCCGGAAATACTTGACCATTTAATGTGGACAGTCACAGGTCTCTCTGCACGGTGTTGAATGTGTAATTATTACCATCATCAATTGGAGTGTAGCAGCAACAAATTCCGACATTGCACAATAAACACCACCCTCAGCATCACCAAAGCCGGAAATACTTGACCATTTAACGTGGACAGTCCCGGTTCTCTCTGCTAGAAGTTACATATATATGTAATAATTAGCTTACTTTGTCCATGAAGTAGTGATGGTTTGTGTATTTTTTCGTAACGGGACAATATCTGCGAACTACATGTAAGGATGGTTTGAAGCAATGATGTTCCATCTCCATGATTAACTGCTTTAGAAAATGATTCCACAACAATCACATTCCTGGTCACAATCAAAGTTTCTCCTTATATAGGTTTATGTTTCCTATCCTGTTTAAGACGAGATACAACAGAATACATTTAAAACCAGACCAATCACAGCTCCAGAGTCGATACTCGTTTGTTCACAGACCGTCACAACATAGCTGCAATATTGCCGAGTGCGGCGTTAAACAATGAACAAACCAGGTCCAATAGGGGATTTGGACATATTTTACTAACGCTTTTTGCAGATTCTTCCCGTAACACCTATACGCAAGCTCGCGAAGGGGGACACCAGAAATGGGCTCCACACATTGTACCCATGTGGGGAATCGAACACGGTCTTCGGCGTGACGGGCGAACGCTTTAAGCCCTAGAATTGATCTTCAGCAACCCGTGCTTGTCGTAAGAGGCGACTAACGGGATCGGGTGGTCAGGCTCGCCGACTTGGTTGCCACATGTCATCGGTTCCCAGTTGTGTAGATCGATGCCCATGCTGTTGATCATTGGATTGTCTCGTCCAGACCCGATTATTTACAGACCGCTGCCATATAGCTGGAATATTGCTGATTGCTGCTAAAGCTAAAATCACACATTTACTCACTGATCATACATTATTTCTGTTGCACAGTGTATAACACATCAACAACAGCATTATTGTGCGCCTGGTTAATCTAGGGTCCTAATAGTCCTAATAGTCGTTTTAAGTTATTCGAGATTTCAGTATCTCGATTAAAATGCTTCCATCAACCTATAATGCCTTGCTGTATACTGTACGTTAATCTTTATTGTACCATACTAGTTTTGTATAAACAATGTGATAGTCTGGTAGTTTGCTGTCCTATGTTGACAAGCATTTAAGTACTAAAATGTATTCATTTACATGAGTGAGTGAGTGAGTGAGTGAGTTGAAGTTTATAGTCACAGCGGCAGTATTTCAGCCATATTATCATGACTTAAAATAGTTATAAATTCATGATAAATGAGCAAAGTGTAAAAACCAGTCGAGGAAAGACAGTAAAACCAACTATTATGTCACAGTAATAAGAAATAAAACTAGCATATATCTCTAAAATAGGATTTCAAATTAGGACAATACGATATTAAAAAGGCTGAGGATCACCGACAACTGAAGGTAGATCACCACTGTAGGGACCATGCGGACTTACAGTACTTTGGCTACCTGCATGGACCCTAGCTGGATTTATACCATTCCTTCAGCCATTGATTGTACTGATGTTTAGCCATAATAAAACAACAAATATTCTACGATTTCAAAGGTATGTAGAGCTAAATTGACTCATTTATATGAAGCTTCAATAGTCATGATATGAATAGACAATTTGGGAGTATAATTTCTTAGTACATAATGTACAAATATTTGCACTTAAATTTCTCCCAAAACACATCTTGTGGTAATGGAAAGATCATACCTTTGGAAGTATGATTGTTGTCACTGACGGGGGTCTTAGCACTATATAAAAGGAAAGACGTCAGCACATCAAGTCCTTTTCACCAATGTTTACTGTATATACACTTCAGAATCATTAAAAGCCAATAGATTTACATACACAATGAGACAAACATGACAAAGTCAATGGGTGCTTCCGATGCTCGAAGAATCGTAATTTTTCGATTCGGAGTCTCCTTGCTCAGAAGTTATTCCGCTGACCGAATTTCTTGCGTCTATGTTGGTCACGTCACATTACAAGAAGACCAGTATTTGCCATTCGTGGCCAACTCGTGTTATACCGGGTCAAGACTCGGGTGCCTCTGGATGGATTTCATATATGAACTCAAACAAGTTAAACAATTCTGTTGCTGTTTAATTCCAACATGCTAAACATTACCGGTGCACACTAAAATTATTACCTATAAAATATTTAATCTGTTTCAAACATTGATGATGATGATGATGATGATTTGATGAAAACATATTCTAATGTTATATTACCAGCTGTTACCACTTTATATATCCGAATGTGTATTCCTAAAGAATAGCAAATGGGATTTTTCCAACAATGAACAGTCTGACAACTTCTGAAGGACCTAAAAAAACGTCAGTCTGAAATATACCTAGTGAAGTGATATGTATGCAGGGTGTATATTTTGCTTAGTTACATAGAAATATATTATTTGAAACCCGTAACTGTCAATAATTGCATTATTGAAAAGAAAATTCGCACGTAAAATCTGCAAAGCAAGCCCGCAAGATCGTCCAGGGAAACACTCGGTTGGAAGCACGAGAGCCGTTATGTGGCAAACGCACGTGTGTGTATTTAAACCGTTGTTGGCCCTATCTGTATTAAAGAAATTCAAATTTGGCAACAAAAGTATGTTAGTTATGCTCTTTGTAGATGCAACACGACGATATATATTTTTCATGATTTCTTAAACTATCATATGATGCCATAACCGAATTTAAGTACTCGAGAATATAATGTTTATCAAAGTACCTCAGCCCTCACGCGCATTCTGACTGGTTTCAATATAACTGATTCTATCCACCACTCAGGTCTTAGACTTTGTCCTCTCCAGTCTTTACGTTGAAGCAGATGTGCCTTTGCACCGTGTCAAAAACTATCATCGAATAGGTCCAACTATGCATACAATTGTTTTATTAATACTCTCCAGGAGGATCTGTATAACACAAAATCTTCACATGTTCCACCTCTTGGAATACGAATAAATCCTTTCCTTTCTCCTGCTAACATTGAACTAGAAATCATATCTCCTTTCTTCTTATCAATTGGTGAGGCCACAAGTCTAACACTGACTACTTAAAAACCAGACACAAATGAATTAGAGTATAAACAGTAATTTAATCAAATAAGAAGTAAGTATAATATATATTTATTTATTTACAGATTGATCTAAAAACGGCGAGGCTGCTGCTTGTGCCACCGTCATTAGATCTAGAACAATATTCTAGATTACTAGATAATAGCTCCATTTTCACAGATAAAGCAACCTCCGTGCTAACATATCTTAAATATAATTACAAACAGCTCTACTTCGACATTGTCCTCTGTTACCCATGTTGAAATTTCCATTGACACAATAGCTGATTCTGCTGCTAAGGCACCACTCGTTAAATTTGTGACACCACTTCTCATCCCATTCTCCGATTTTATACCTGCCATTAGATCTTACATCCGTGATCAAATGATGAAGAAGTGGGACTCCCAAGTTGGTATAAATAAATTACATTAAACAGACCATCTATAACTACTTGGGTTGTCAGTCATTAGAAGAGGTCATTGTTTGACGATTTCGCATTAGTTATACAAGATATACTCCTGAATGTCTATTAAAAGGCGAGGATCCTCTGGTTTGTATCCCCTGTAATGATAGAATCACGTTCAGGCATGCCCTGCTTGATTGTATTGATATTTTCATCACAAGGGATAACTATTTTAAGGTTTCAACATTCACGGATCTTTGAAATGTTTATTCAAAGTTAATAATTGCCTTTTTCATAAGAAATAGAGTTATTAGATAAATTTTGATGAAAACTGTTTAATTAGATAAATATTTTATAATTAGTACATGTAGTTTAAATTATCAGCTAAGATTGTTAAGAGCAATATCCTCCAAGGGGCTTAAAGTACTGTAAAATTATTGTCCTCCTGAGTGGGTACATAAATCCAAAAACATTCACATTTATCAAATAGAAACAGAAAAAAAGCAGTAATAGTGCCTTTTGCTATATGCCGGGGTTTGGCAATTGTAAAATATCCATGGAAACGATTTTTACTTTGTCTCAAAAAGGTGGCGATTGTTTTAACCAAGGTTGCATAGGTGCATTTTCCTATTTAGGAATATTATGAAAATGTTCTTGTTTTATGTTGCCATGACAACAAGTTTGACTTTGACCCTGTTAATAGTGGTGTGCTTCACTGGACCATATCTTTTAAAGTAACAGGTATTCTTTCATGGAGCTGTCTGGACACAAACACCAGGTGGGGAAATGTTGCTTGGGTTGTTACTTATGTTTTGCCATGCAGGTAGCAAATGTACTGTAAGTCCCCATGGCCCCTGGTATGGTGCCCTACCTTCAGTTGCTGGTGATCTCTAGCCCGTTTTTATATATTGTGAGGTGAGGTGAAATTGGGTTTAACGTGGTGCTTGAGAATATTTCGCTCAAATGACGACGCGTATGTGTATGTGCGGCTGCTTGTACTAGCCCAGACTGAAGCTGGTTTTATAGTGCTAGCCCACTGAGATACCATGTTATGTGACAATTCCGCATTAGTCATACAAGTTATACTCATGACTATCTACTAAAAGGTAGGGATCCTCCGGGTTGTATCCACTGTGATGATAGAATAATATTAACATAATACATTATTACATAGCCATAGCTGTTGCTTTGATAATAAACAGATTTAGTGAATCATGACAAATTCTACTGATGATATTTCCGTACACAATAGTATGTATATATTGTATGTATATATATCATTTAATCTTTTCGTTTTATGTGCTCCTCCAGATGGTCAGGATGTGATGAAAGATATACAAGAGATGAAAGGTACGTCGTATGATTGGAAGGTTGAATAAAGGCGATAAAGCCTTTTCCATGTCCATGAGAAATAGCTGCCAAAAGCAAAGTCTATTTATTCACATATCATGTGCTTATGAATCACAAAGTGATACCAGATGTTTGCAAAAAAGATCAGCTTATAGTCCCACCCTTCACAGGCACATTTTATTCAGACAGAGCATTGTAACTGGTTAATGGAGATTCTAATCACAATATGCATCCGTATTCTTAGTTATGAATTTGATTTAGCCATGGATATTTATATAAATGTGTATGCGATGCTCACAACAATATGTATTCTCTGTCAACAAATTCACATATTGGTTGCTTGTAGATGGATTACATCTTTAGCTTTCGGATCTTCACAGAAGCAAACACTTCAAAGACACAAAGTAGTGCACTATGTAGCCAGTATATGCTGTGACGAGTGTCCGGCAGATATATATTAATGACATGAAATTAGCACAAGTATACATTGATGCAGTGGGTCAGCCGTCCCCCACCTAATAATCTCAGATACAAAATAGGGGAAGGCAAAGTAATGTAACTATGAGTTGGTTAAAGATTTAACTGGTGGTTATTTGAGAAATACTACCGACTCATACATTTATGTTACAGAAATATATTGTTGGTAATATGAAAATACAAAACTAAATCTTGATATCAAGTGGTAACAACTGTGATGGTGTCATTAAAATGTTTGCAATTACTGAGATTTTCATTGTTAAATATTAACAGTAACTTGACCTCGCTTATGACACTTCCAATCCCGATTTTCCGCTTACAGTATTTTTCTGCGTTATTTTAAGTCAGTTCCTAATTAAGGAGGAATGTTTGAAATAAGATGCGACTTACATCAATGCAAGGGTATTTCACGATAACACTATGAGGGTGCAGGCGACTTACATCAATACAAGGGTATTACACGATAACACTATGAGGGTGCAGGCGACTTACATCAATACAAGGGTATTACAAGATAACGCTATGAGGGTACAGGCGACTTACACCAATACAAGGGTATTACACGATAAAGCTATGAGGGTACAGGCGACTTACATCAATACAAGGGTATTACAAGATAACGCTATGAGGGTACAGGCGACTTACACCAATACAAGGGTATTACATGATAAAGCTATGAGGGTACAGGCGACTTACATCAATACAAGGGTATTACACGATAACACTATGAGGGTACAGGCGACTTACATCAATACAAGGGTATTACACGATAACGCTATGAGGGTACAGGCGGATAACGATATGAGGGTACAGGCGACTTACATCAATACAAGGGTATTACACGATAAGCGCTATGAGGGTACAGGCGACTTACATCAATACAAGGGTATTACACGATAACGCTATGAGGGTACAGGCGACTTACATCAATACAAGGGTATTACACGATAACGCTATGAGGGTACAGGCGACTTACATCAATACAAGGGTATTACAAGATAACGCTATGAGGGTACAGGCGACTTACATCAATACAAGGGTATTACAAGATAACGCTATGAGGGTACAGGCGACTTACATCAATACAAGGGTATTACAAGATAACGCTATGAGGGTACAGGCGACTAACATCAATACAAGGGTATTACACGATAACGCTATGAGGGTACAGGCGACTTACATCAATACAAGGGTATTACACGATAACGCAATAAGGGTACAGGTGACTTACATCAATACAAGGGTATCACACGATAACGCTATGAGGTACATGTGACTTACATCAATACAAGGGTATTACACGATAACGCTATGAGGGTACAGGTGGATAACGCTATGAGGGTACATGCGACTTACATCAATACAAGGGTATTACACGATAACGCTATGAGGGTACAGGCGACTTACATCAATACAAGGGTATTACACGATAAAGCTATGAGGGTACAGGCGACTTACATCAATACAAGGGTATTACAAGATAACGCTTATGAGGGTACAGGCGACTTACATCAATACAAGGGTATTACACGATAAAGCTATGAGGGTACAGGCGACTTACATCAATACAAGGGTATTACAAGATAAAGCTATGAGGGTACAGGCGACTTACATCAATACAAGGGTATTATTACACGATAACACTATGAGGGTACAGGCGACTTACATCAATACAAGGGTATTACACGATAACGCTATGAGGGTACAGGCGACTTACATCAATACAAGGGTATTACACGATAACGCTATGAGGGTACAGGCGACTTACATCAATACAAGGGTATTACAAGATAACGTTATGAGGGTACAGGCGACTTACATCAATACAAGGGTATTACACGATAAAGCTATGAGGGTACAGGCGACTTACATCAATACAAGGGTATTACAAGATAACGCTATGAGGGTACAGGCGACTTACATCAATACAAGGGTATTACACGATAACGCTATGAGGGTACAGGCGACTTACATCAATACAAGGGTATTACACGATAACGCTATGAGGGTACAGGCGACTTTACATCAATACAAGGGTATTACAAGATAACGCTATGAGGGTACAGGCGACTTACATCAATACAAGGGTATTACACGATAACGCTATGAGGGTACAGGCGACTTACATCAATACAAGGGTATTACATGATAACGCTTATGAGGGTACAGGTGACTTACATCAATACAAAGGGTATTACACGATAACGCTAATGAGGGTACAGGCGACTTACATCAATACAAGGGTATTACACGATAACGCTATGAGGGTACAGGTGACTTACATCAATACAAGGGTATTACAACGATAACGCTATGAGGGTACAGGCGGCAAGGGTATTACACGCGATAACGCTATGAGGGTACAGGCGACTTACATCAATACAAGGGTATTACACGATAACGCTATGAGGGTACAGGCGACTTACATCAATACAAGGGTATTACATGATAACGCTATGAGGGTACAGGCGACTTACATCAATACAAGGGTATTACACGATAAAGCTATGAGGGTACAGGCGACTTACATCAATACAAGGGTATTACAAGATAACGCTATGAGGGTACAGGCGACTTACATCAATACAAGGGTATTACACGATAACGCTATGAGGGTACAGGCGACTTACATCAATACAAGGGTATTACACGATAACGCTATGAGGGTACAGGCGACTTACATCAATACAAGGGTATTACAAGATAAAGCTATGAGGGTACAGGCGACTTACATCAATACAAGGGTATTATTACACGATAACACTATGAGGGTACAGGCGACTTACATCAATACAAGGGTATTACAAGATAACGCTATGAGGGTACAGGCGACTTACATCAATACAAGGGTATTACAAGATAACGCTATGAGGGTACAGGCGACTAACATCAATACAAGGGTATTACACGATAACGCTATGAGGGTACAGGTGACTTACATCAATGCAAGGGTATTACACGATAACGCAATAAGGGTACAGGTGACTTACATCAATACAAGGGTATTCACGCGATAACGCTATGAGGTACATGTGACTTACATCAATACAAGGGTATTACACGATAACGCTATGAGGGTACAGGCGGATAACGCTATGAGGGTACATGCGACTTACATCAATACAAGGGTATTAAACGATAACGCTATGAGGGTACAGGCGGATAACGCTATGAGGGTACAGGCGACTTACATCAATACAAGGGTATTACACGATAACGCTATGAGGTACAGGCGACTTACATCAATACAAGGGTATTACACGATAACGCTATGAGGGTACAGGCGACTTACATCAATACAAGGGTATTACACGATAACGCTATGAGGGTACAGGCGACTTACATCAATACAAGGGTATTACAAGATAACGCTATGAGGGTACAGGCGACTTACATCAATACAAGGGTATTACACGATAACGCTATGAGGGTACAGGCGACTTACATCAATACAAGGGTATTACACGATAACGCTATGAGGGTACAGGCGACTTACATCAATACAAGGGTATTACAAGATAACGCAATATGAGGGTACAGGCGACTTACATCAATACAAGGGTATTACACGATAACGCTTATGAGGGTACAGGTGACTTACATCAATACAAGGGCATTACACGATAACGCTTATGAGGGTACAGGTGACTTACATCAATACAAGGGTATTACACGATAACGCTATGAGGGTACAGGTGACTTACATCAATACAAGGGTATTACACGATAATAACGCTATGAGGGTACAGGCGGATAACGCTATGAGGGTACTTTACATCAATACAAGGGTATTACACGATAACAGGCGGATAACGCCATGAGGGTACAGGCGACTTACATCAATACAAGGGTATTACACGATAACGCTATGAGGGTACAGGCGACTTACATCAATACAAGGGTATTACACGATAACGCTATGAGGGTACAGGCGACTTACATCAATACAAGGGTATTACACGATAACGCTATGAGGGTACAGGTGACTTACATCAATACAAGGGTATTACACGATAACGCTATGAGGTACAGGTGACTTACATCAATACAAGGGTATTACACGATAACGATGAGGGTACAGGCGGATAACGCTATGAGGGTACAGGTGACTTACATCAATACAAGGGTATTACACGATAACGCTATGAGCGTACAGGCAGATAACGCTATGAGGGTACAGGTGACTTACATCAATACAAGGGTATTACACGATAACGCTAGGACTTGACGAGGGGGATACATCAATACAAGGGTATTACACGATAACGCTATGAGGTACAGGTGACTTACATCAATACAAGGGTATTACACGATAACGCTATGAGGGTACAGGCGACTTACATCAATACAAGGGTATTACACGATAACGCCATGAGGGTACAGGTGACTTTACATCAATACAAGGGTATTACACGATAACGCTATGAGGGTACAGGTGACTTACATCAATACAAGGGTATTACACGATAACGCTATGAGGGTACAGGTGACTTACATCAATACAAGGGTATTACATGATAACGCTATGAGGGTACAGGTGACATCAATACAAGGGTATTACACGATAACATCAATACAAGGGTATTACACGATAACGCTATGAGGGTACAGGTGACTTACATCAATACAAGGGTATTACACGATAACGCCATGAGGGTACAGGCGACTTACATCAATACAAGGGTATTACACG